GTTTTAGCCTGTACACACTGAGTTGATGGCTTCCAGTGACCTGTTGGACTTTGGAGTCAAATTTAACTCACTTTCTGTTGTTTTACACAGATCAGTCACAGGACAGAGTGTTTCACCAGATCTCAGCTTTAACACAAACAATACCATTTTCATACAGCCATATTTCACTGAACAGGACTCATGTAGAGATTTCTACATGAAAGCCTCTAAAAGGTAGAAGCAGGCTGTTTTAGCCTGTACACACTGAGTTGATGGCTTCCAGTGACCTGTTGGACTTTGGAGTCAAATTTAAGTCACTTTCTGTTGTTTTACACAGATCAGCCACAGGAAAGAGTGTTTCACCAGAACTCACCTTTACAACAAACAATACCATTTTCATACAGACATATTTCACTGAACAGGACTCATGTAGAGATTTCTACATGAAAGCCTCTAAAAGGTAGAAGCAGGCTGTTTTAGCCTGTACACACTGAGTTGATGGCTTCCAGTGACCTGTTGGACTTTGGAGTCAAATTTAACTCACTTTCTATTGTTTTACACAGATCAGTCACAGGGCAGAGTGTTTCACCAGATTTCTTCTTTACAACAAGAAATACCAATTTGATACACCCATATTTCACTGAACAGGACTCTCTTGCTTGTCAAGCATTAGCGAATGTGTAAAGCTCCTTTTGTGGACTTTATGAGCTAACAGCCACCTAATAAGTTCTAAATGGAGTTTTAATACCAAAATACAACTGTATGATGGGTGTGGGACGCTGATTTGAGCTGTTGTGATTTGGGGCCCCTATGTGGCCCCTGAAAGAAACTAGCTTGGGAAAGGTGGCAGAAGGTTGAGATTCAAGATTCTTGATGGTGTTGTCTCTGTGAGTCTTCTGGGTAAGTTTGAAGCCATTTGGAGCTCAACTCAGAGATTTCTACATGAAAGCCTCTAAAAGGTAGAAGCAGGCTGTTTTAACCTGTACACACTGAGTTGATGGCTTCCAGTGACCTGTTGTACTTTGGAGTCAATTTTAACTCACTTTCTGTTGTTTTACACAGATCAGTCACAGGGCAGAGTGTTTCACCAGATCTCACCTTTACAGCAAACAATACCATTTTCATACAGCCATATTTCACTGAACAGGACTCATGTAGAGATTTCTACATGAAAGCCTCTAAAAGGTAGAAGCAGGCTGTTTTAGCCTGTACACACTGAGTTGATGGCTTCCAGTGACCTGTTGGACTTTGGAGTCAAATTTAACTCACTTTCTATTGTTTTACACAGATCAGTCACAGGGCAGAGTGTTTCACCAGATTTCTTCTTTACAACAAGAAATACCAATTTGATACACCCATATTTCACTGAACAGGACTCTCTTGCTTCTCAAGCCTAAGCGAGTGTGTAAAGCTCCTTTTGTGGACTTTATGAGCTAACAGCCACCTAATAAGTTCTAAATGGAGTTTTAATACCAAAATACAACTGTATGATGGGTGTGGGACGCTGATTTGAGCTGTTGTGATTTGGGGCCCCTATGTGGCCCCTGAAAGAAACTAGCTTGGGAAAGGTGGCAGAAGGTTGAGATTCAAGATTCTTGATGGTGTTGTCTCTGTGAGTCTTCTGGGTAAGTTTGAAGCCATTTGGAACTCAACTCAGAGATTTCTACATGAAAGGCTCTAAAAGGTAGAAGCAGGCTGTTTTAACCTGTACACACTGAGTTGATGGCTTTCAGTGACCTGTTGGACTTTGGAGTCAAATTTAAGTAAATTTCTGTTGTTTTAGACAGATCAGTCACAGGAAAGAGTTTTTCACCAGATCTCACCTTTACAACAAACAATACCATTTTCATACAGCCACATTTCACTGAATAGGACTCATGTAGAGATTTCTACATGAAAGCCTCTAAAAGGTAGAAGCAGGCTGTTTTAGCCTGTACACACTGAGTTGATGGCTTCCAGTGACCTGTTGTACTTTGGAGTCAAATTTAACTAACTTTCTATTGTTTTACACAGATCAGTCACAGGGCAGAGTGTTTCACCAGATTTCTTCTTTACAACAAGAAATACCAATTTGATACACCCATATTTCACTGAACAGGACTCTCTTGCTTGTCAAGCCGAAGCGAGTGTGTAAAGCTCCTTTTGTGGACTTTATGAGCTAACAGCCACCTAATAAGTTCTAAATGGAGTTTTAATACCAAATACAACTGTATGATGGGTGTGGGACGCTGATTTGAGCTGTTGTGATTTGGGGCCCCTATGTGGCCCCTGAAAGAAACTAGCTTGGGAAAGGTGGCAGAAGGTTGAGATTCAAGATTCTTGATGGTGTTGTCTGTGAGTCTTCTGGGTAAGTTTGAAGCCATTTGGAGCTCAACTCAGAGATTTCTACATGAAAGCCTCTAAAAGGTAGAAGCAGGCTGTTTTAACCTGTACACACTGAGTTGATGGCTTCCAGTGACCTGTTGGACTTTGGAGTCAAATTTAAGTCACTTTCTGTTGTTTTACACAGATCAGTCACAGGAAAGAGTGTTTCACCAGATCTCACCTTTACAACAAACAATACCATTTTCATACAGCCATATTTCACTGAACAGGACTCATGTAGAGATTTCTACATGAATGCCTCTAAAAGGTAGAAGCAGGCCTTTTTAGCCTGTACACACTGAGTTGATGGCTTCCAGTGACCTGTTGGACTTTGGAGTCAAATTTAACTCACTTTCTATTGTTTTACACAGATCAGTCACAGGGCAGAGTGTTTCACCAGATTTCTTCTTTACAACAAGAAATACCAATTTGATACACCCATATTTCACTGAACAGGACTCTCTTGCTTCTCAAGCCTAAGCGAGTGTGTAAAGCTCCTTTTGTGGACTTTATGAGCTAACAGCCACCTAATAAGTTCTAAATGGAGTTTTAATACCAAAATACAACTGTATGATGGGTGTGGGACGCTGATTTGAGCTGTTGTGATTTGGGGCCCCTATGTGGCCCCTGAAAGAAACTAGCTTGGGAAAGGTGGCAGAAGGTTGAGATTCAAGATTCTTGATGGTGTTGTCTCTGTGAGTCTTCTGGGTAAGTTTGAAGCCATTTGGAGCTCAACTCAGAGATTTCTACCAGAAAGCCTCTAAAAGGTAGAAGCAGGCTGTTTTAGCCTGTACACACTGAGTTGATGGCTTCCAGTGACCTGTTGGACTTTGGAGTCAAATTTATGTCACTTTCTGTTGTTTTACACAGATCAGTCACAGGAAAGAGTGTTTCACCAGATCTCACCTTCACAACAAACAATACCATTTTCATACAGCCATATTTCACTGAACAGGACTCATGTAGAGATTTCTACATGAAAGCCTCTAAAAGGTAGAAGCAGGCTGTTGTAGCCTGTACACACTGAGTTGATGGCTTCCAGTGACCTGTTGGACTTTGGAGTCAAATTTAACTCACTTTCTATTGTTTTACACAGATCAGTCACAGGGCAGAGTGTTTCACCAGATTTCTTCTTTACAACAAGAAATACCAATTTGATACACCCATATTTCACTGAACAGGACTCTCTTGCTTGTCAAGCCTAAGCGAGTGTGTAAAGCTCCTTTTGTGGACTTTATGAGCTAACAGCCACCTAATAAGTTCTAAATGGAGTTTTAATACCAAAATACAACTGTATGATGGGTGTGGGACGCTGATTTGAGCTGTTGTGATTTGGGCCCCTATGTGGCCCCTGAAAGAAACTAGCTTGGGAAAGGTGGCAGAAGGTTGAGATTCAAATTCTTGATGGTGTTGTCTCTGTGAGTCTTCTGGGTAAGTTTGAAGCCATTTGGAGCTCAACTCAGAGATTTCTACATGAAAGCTTCTAAAAGGTAGAAGCAGGCTGTTTTAGCCTGTACACACTGAGTTGATGGCTTCCAGTGACCTGTTGGACTTTGGTGTCAAATTAAACTCACTTTCTGTTGTTTTACACAGATCAGTCACAGGACAGAGTGTTTCACCAGATCTCACATTTACAGCAAACAATACCAATTTCATACAGCCATATTTCTCTGAACAGTACTCTTTTGCTTCTCAAGCCTAAGCGAGTGTGTAAAGCTCCTTTTGTGGATTTTATGAACTAACAACCACCTAATAAGTTCTAAATGGAGTTTTAATACCAAAATACAACTGTATGATGGGTGTGGGACGCTGATTTGAGCTGTTGTGATTTGGGGCCCCTATGTGGCCCCTGAAAGAAACTAGCTTGGGAAAGGCGGCAGAAGGTTGAGATTCAAGATTCTTGATGGTGTTGTCTCTGTAAGTTGTTACAACCCAGCTCGTTAGGGTAGGGCAGTAACAAGGTATTTGGGTTAAAAGGTGGTAAGGACAACTGAAATCAGGTTGAGTCGAAGTTTAATTAAATGAGTTGTCTCCAAAAAAACATAACAAAAGGAGGCTATGTAGGTACTGACAAAAAAAACACTTAACAAAAGGAGGTCAGTACCTACATGCTGTACAGGAATGTAGTGTAACCAAACAAACAATTTTCCCCCTTAAAGGGTGCCACTCACACTCTAGTTCACAAAGGTTTTTACTGACAAGAGTCACTTAAGCCGGCAACCAACAAACAGATCAGATTTAAACACTCAAGACATTCACAGGGGTACACAACCAACAACAAGGCGAACTGATCACTGGCTCACAGTCGCCTCGAACTGCAGGAACACAAACTATTTGTAGGCCAGCTGGTGTTGATTGGTGAGTTCTGGTTGGCAGGTTCGGTAGGATCCTCGGCCACACCAATCAGACGCCAGCAAACAGCAACCAGGAAGTGGGTGGTTCCAGGTCCAGGGGAACCAATCCTCGACAGGTGCTTGCCGTGGGGATTTGCATACAGCTCAGAGAATCCAAAACACAACTACTCTAAGGCAGCCAGCGGCGGCCGTAACACTCCCCCCTTAAATTACAAGCCCCCGTGGCTTGGCAATAAATCTACTAACTTAACTAATCTCTACAGTCTCGACAAAGCATCAGCTAGCACATTTTCAGACCCCTTCTTATGTCGGATGTCGAGATTGAAGTCCTGAACCACCAGTGCCCATCGCATGAGTCGCTGGTTGTGGTTAAACATGCGAGACAGAAAAACAAGGGGATTATGATCAGTGAACACAACAACAGGCAGAGGAGTAGACCCAACATAGACCTCAAAGTGCTGTAGTGCTAACAACAGAGCAAGGGCTTCCTTTTCAATGGTGGAATAATTTATCTGGTGTCGGTTGAACTTGCGGGAAAAGTAAGCAACCGGATGGTCAATACCGTCCTCCCCTTCCTGTAACAGGACAGCACCAGCGCCCACTGCACTGGCGTCTACCTCAAGCTTGAAGGGAGCGGTAAAGTCAGGGGCAGCGAGCACAGGAGTGTGA